TTCAGCCTACATGCTTCAGGGATGTGAGTTCGAGGTGACTCCTACCACTATTAACTACTGTTTATAGAATGCTTCCCAAATGCCAGGAACAGCAGAAGATATCTATTTTATATACATATAATATTCTCATTTAATTTCCATAGTAGCATAATGAAACAGGTAATCTTTCTTCCTATTTTATCAATTTTCTAAAGAAGGATGTCTGACAAAGAAGAATGACACATCTAAGCTCACACAGTGAGGAAACCAGAGCCAGGATCCAAGCCAGGATCAACAGGCTGACTCCAATGCTCAGCCTATGTTGCTAACCTCGGATGAGTTCAGCCTAACATTCAAAGCAGGAAATGGCTGAAAGAAAACAAAGTGATCACCAAAATAGGGATTCTTACTTTTTGTTGAATCTTAGACTCCTATCGCAACGTTATGAAAGCTATAATTCCTCTCCTTGGAAAAAAGCCTATATGTTCACAATTTTGTGTGTGAATGTTTTGGAGATTTTCAAACTTCTTAAAACTACAGCTATGAATCTGTAGCCTGAAGGTTGTTACTCAAGGTCTCCAGATCACAGAGAGGACTTGACTGGGGCGTTGGGCATAGAAATGTCTCCTTAGCCAAAACAACCCAGCTGACACAAAGTCTCTAATGTAAGCAAGTATTTAAAATCATAGATTTGATTCTTAACAGGATTAGTCATGATGGAGATCCCAAATTGTAAAGATATTGTTAAAGAATACCAATTCCAACCTGATTCTTGCAGCATCCTTTAGAGGATGTATCTAAGTTAGGAAGAAGAAAGGTTGCTAGAATCATAGCACCCTACAGTAAGGCTATGCACCTTGGTCATGACCTTGAGGCCAAAGGAATTGGCTCAGACAGTCCCAAACTGAGTAGCCATTTCACAGACAGCCCACAGCCCAGCAGGTCACTGCTCTCTAACTCTCTCATCATGACACTGCCATCTGCAGCAACTGAGCTGAGATTGCTCAAGACCAAATTTATCACACCCAACATTCCATTCTTACATAAGAATCACCTGCCGCTGGTACATAAATTTCAGCACCTAGCAGAGCCAAGGGTAATCAAGATTTAAAAGGAAGGGGCTTGAATAAATATCAAGCAGATTTCCTCTCTGTGGGGCTGAGTTCTGAAAAATCTTTGTGCCCTCACATGCACCTCGAAGGAGACTGTCATTTTTCTACTTTCTGTCTGCATTGTTATTGCGGGGAGTGGGGGCAGGGCAGATGATGCTCTGAGCCACAGGCAATCTGTCTTCTTGGAGGTTCTGTTCAAGCTATGACCTCGGTTCTCTCCAGTTTATGTCTCTCCTCACAAATTTCAGTTTGCTCTCATCACCAACTAAATTAACCATAAAGCAAAGCCTTCACTCACATTACTGAAGCCCAAGAGGAATCAGTCCAAGCCTGGAGCTGGGCCTCTCTGTACTAAAGGCAGCAGCTAGCCTAAGGGGAAATGTAGGAATGGCCCTCACATCCCTGTTTATAAAGCACTTTGGGTCACCTAGAAGATTCTCATTGCTTGAGACTTCAGAGTGGAGGTACAGTGTTTGCTGAAAGCTACAGAAGGAGATAGCATTGTTTAAGGAGTGGTAGGATTGAGATAACCATTGGTGGTAGAGAGAGCACAGGGAAGAGGGTTTCACCTCAACCAGAAAAAGGGCCAAGAAAATACCTACAGCTCTGTTTGGTGCAGTTTGGGAAAATGATATTAGGCTTAACAAATATCTGAAAAGGCTTGACTCTATGACCTTGGCTAGTTTCCTCCTCCGAGTTTCCATTTGTATGATATAGGAACAGAAGGAAGCTTCTTCCTGCATCAGCATGCCAAGATGGAAGGTGGAAGAAAAGGCCTTTGAAGCCAACATAATTACTCCTCTGTCCAGGGAAATATAAACAACAATAACTGCAACAGCCTTCAGCTCTGCTTTTTGAATGAGTTCTTTGCTTCTGTCTGAGAGGTAAAGTAGTTCATTCCTTGGGGAAAAGTTGAATGTGGAATGGCGGGCCATGCCCTGCTCACTTTAGTTTCGTGATGTCACACTGAATCATTAGTAATACAAAGAACATTCAATAAAATTTCACTAAGTCTCCAGCATGTGCCTAGGGCTGCAGTAGGTCCTGTAGGATAGATAAAGAAAAGTGTGTGACATGTACAGAGGGTCTTTAAGCCCCTTAACATTTTCTCAGAGGTTTACATGTTCTGTTTTTAAAAGCCAAGCACAAAATGAGCTATTATGTTTTAAAGGTCTGTTTTTTAAAAATAAATATTATTTCTGTCTACTAATAGAAGTCAGCGAGTTTGATCAAAAATTGGCTTGTTTTTATGCTCTTACTAATACATTCTGCACATGTTTTATTTATCTTTGCTATGCGTGTCTATGAGACGCTCTGCTTTGGCATTTATAGGGCGTACATTGGCTTGGATTCTGGTTAGATGCCTCTAGGTAAAGCACAAATAAGTCAATCAAGAAACTTTTGAATTTTCAAACAAATGCATGCTTATACATTTTGAAGTTCCACTCCAGTGCAATCACTGTATGACATGAAAGCAAACTAAAGGAATTGTTTTTTTGGAAGCTGTCCTAATTCCCAAGTGTGCTCATTGGTTAATAGTTCTGCACATCCTTGGAATACCAAATGCTACCTCAAGCTAATTCCCAGTGACCTGCTGTTATTCTTTGTTGTACACTTATTTTTATGCCAAGTAGATAGATGGTCAGTAATATCATCTTCCCAGACTACTTTGTTTCACTTTGAAGTTTTCTAAGACAAAGCACTTATCAGTGTGTTGTAAGTGACAGTCACTTTCAAAATACACCTTGAGTACAAAACAGAACTTTTCTGGATGTAAAAATGATCCAAATGAGATCTTTCTTTCCAATACCATCTGTCTTCATTATTACCTGAATGCACTTGTCCTAAAGGTTCTGTATAAATATATTGGGTGATTATATTGAATATATTGGGTGATTTCCATTACATTATGACACATAGAATAGCTATTAGGATTTTCTAGTCACATTCCATATTTCTAAGAAGTTTTCTTCCAATAATTTAAAGAACTATTTTTGAACCTTAGGTATTCAGAATTGACTATACTCTTCAATTCATGAAATATCAAGGCATGTTAGGTCTACGGTGAACAATAAGAATAGCATGTATTTAGGGTGACTGCCCCCCCTTGGACTTTCCCAGGATATAACACTTGCCATGTGAATTCTCCAGGCAAATACAGAATAACCCCATCATCCCAAATATATTATAATTCCCCATTTATAAGGACCACACATTTCAGTACCTAGCAGAGCCTAGAATCACTTTGTTGGGTAAACGGAGAGCAGCATTTTGCTCTTCTCTACTGTAGTTTCTCCAAATACAAATTAGAGATATGGGACTGAGTCCTCTGGGGTCCAACAAGACCCTGTTTACAACTAGACAGATCCCTGCAACTTCTTCTACACCTTAATTTCACCTTGAACTTGAAGAAAACCCATGTCATCATTTGCCTGTTGGTGCACTACCATTCCAAAGTGCTAGCTTGAAATACCACAGGCGTGAATGGGGTCTTTGTCTTCATCACATGTTATTCAGGAAGAGCAACATTGCCACTTTGTGTTTTGAGGGAGTAGAGTGACTGAGATGTTATAATTGTCATAGTTTTCAAAGCAGAGGAAACAGGTATAACGTCTGTTTATCCTTCTAATTTCTTTAAGGAGAAAGAAAAATCACAATTCTTCTTGGTTTTTTCTATCTTTATCTATGCTTCTAGTTCTATGCTGAAACTTTCCTAAACCTCTCTAGTTCTAAACTGGCCTTTGAGGACGTGGATGAACAACTTTTTTCACTACTGAGAAGGGTTCAGGGTGGGGAAGTAAACCCTTCACATATTTGCACACAGATATTTTCATAATAAATTCGTAATGGAAATCCAGAAGATCACTAACTATCCCTCATCCTGACTGCTTCTATTTTATGAAACAAGTCAACTTAAATAAACCTCAGGAAAAATGACCAGGTGACCACCTTTTAAACCACAATATGGTAAAAGCTAACATTTACCAGGGTATTACTGCGTGCCTTAGTACTGGATTTGGGCCATTAAACTTCACAATAATAATTCCTTGAAGAAACAACTATTGCTCCCATTTCAAAGGAAAGAAAAATGAGGCTGAGGGCGGTTAATTAATTCACCAGTACACACTTGGTAAGGTTGGAGTTTGGATTTAAGCCCAAGCAATTTGATTCTAAAAGCAGTGCTTATAGCCACCTGCCACATTAAATAATAAAAGCAGCTAGCTGGTGTCCCTGTACAAACAGGACCCCAATGTCTAAGTGCTGAGAAAGCTCTTTGTTAGAGCAGACCTAAGGCTGACCAGAACACACGTGCCTGTGAAGCACAGCACGTGTGTCTGTCTACCTATTTAGGTCAAAAGGTATAGGCTTTCTGGCCGTAGGTATTAAAGGATCTGAAGAAAGAGATTGTAATCTGTTGATTAATTCAGAAGTAAGATATATTGTCTTGCCAATCTGCTATGTTATTTCTTCAGTACTTCTATTGCCCTTCCTGAAAAATGCAGATGATATTTCCTAGGTGTCTATGAGAAATGTCTGGCTAAAATAATGGAAAAGAACAATGCAAACTGTAAAGTGCTTTAAAACAATTATCCCATATGTTAAGCCATTTCCAAAATAGCAATTTCTTCAAATGCCCTTGCAAAGCAAATGAGACACAGCTGCTAGAATGCTCTGCAAGGAGAAGGAAATCCAGCTCTTTCAAACGTTCAAGGGGAAAATACACACCGTAAAATTGCCCCAAAGATGAATTTTACAAGAAGCATGGAAGTGTCATCAAAATTTTCAGTGCTTAATTCTAAAAGAGTGCCTGCATTGCAAAGATCAAATGAGGTAGTTCTTCAATAGAAACTTGGGGAAATACTCTTCAGTGACCCTTGCATAAAAGTTAGAAATATAAATGACACTCACCTAAGGAGCAGGAGTGTGGAAACCAAGTCTACCGGCTCTTCTCAATTTTTTCCAAAGACAAGTCTGTTGGGGAAAAAAATAAGGAGGCTGTTTAAAAAGAAAAGAAGAAGAAGAAGAAGGAGGAGGAGGAGGAGGAGGAGGAGGAGGAGGAGGAGGAGGAGGAGGAGAAGAAGAAGAAAGAAAGAAAGAAAAAGAAAAGGAAGAAGGAAGAAAAAAGAAAAGCAAAGAAAGGATGAGGTGTCCATGGAATGCTGCGAGGCTTTGGGAGTGACTCAGCACTTACCAAGGGGCAGTGACAATTAAGAGTTTGTTGAAAGAACTCTAATAAAACTCAGCATTCCCTGTAATCTCAGAACAAGATTGCACCACTAAAGAAAATGTACAGCCCTGCCGTTTGGGGGGCTGTGGTGTGACAGAAGTTGCTTGGGGGTGATGGAACTTGAGGATGAGTCGCAGGAAGCCGCAGGAAGCTGTTTGGGTCTCTGCCCTCTCCTGGTGTCTCTCCCTCTCTCGAGGGATTTCTGCCCTTTTACAATAAGCCAAAGGGAACGGGTGAGCTGGCCAATGGGCAATGAGAAATTGTGGAACAAGCAAAACTTCACAGTCACTTGTAGCATAAAGTATAACACGCATACATTGTATAAACAAATCCCAAGATGGAGCGGAGGAAAGATTTTGGCTGAATCTCTGGGCCCTGGAGAATCATTAGTGCAGATGCCTGTCTCTGGATGGAGGAGCAGTTAGGTTATCCAAGATGGATGCTAAGCAGATTTTTTAAATTCTTTGGGGAGGAAGAAAATCACAGTTCTTCTTAGTAGCTAATTTCTATCTTTAGCTACTCTTGTAGACCTTAAGTTCTGTTCTGAAATGTCCCTAAACCTCTCCTGTTCTAAACTGGTCTTTGAGGACATGGATGAACAACTTTTTCACTGTGTGTGTGGCCAGGGGTAGAGGCATGGTGGTTTGGGTGAGTTAATCTTTCATATATTTGTACATAGATATTTTCATAATAAACTCATAACGGAAACTTAGGTGTTGATTTTCTCCCTTTCCTTCCTGAAAACTCCCCATTCCACCCTACCCCTGTCCCAGGTTATAGAAAGGAAAGGAAAATAAAAATTGTATACCCTGGTGTCATTTTTTCTATTTCAGGAGGCCAAGTACAGGCTGAGTGAAGAGTTTATCTTTTCACAGCTTAAGGCAAAAACAAAACAAAATAAAACAACATCAATAAAAGGATTAAGAATTAGAGATTTGCCATTTCTCTGTTAGGTTTTCAAAATGCTTGTGTTGATTTTCTTGTTCTAGAATAAATTCAGGTGTAAAACAAAATTTTTTAAATTGTACTGCCCTCCAATCTGTTCTTCATTCATAAATGAAGTTGCTCAGTGCTTAGAACTGATTGCCATAAACAAAAGGGGTATAAAAATTTCCGAAGAGTGATCAAAACCACGCTTCTATAACGTGGCTCTCCCCTTTCAAAAAAAAAAAAAGAAAGTTATTCTTGTAATTGATATTCTTTTCTTTTAAGTAGAAAAGAATTAGATTGTGTTGAACTCTCTCTCTTTCTCTGTGTCTATGTGTCTGTCTCTCTGTCTCTGTTTCTCTCTTTCTGAATCTCTCTGCCCTTCCATTTTGGAGTTTCTGTCGGAAGAAGGAAGGAATGTTCTATTTTTAATCAACCAGAACAGTACTAATTTGAATTTGAAACATTCAGGTTCCAAGGAAACTAAACTTCAGTCTTACGGAATGGGAAGAGCCTTCCCTTTTATCAGACAAAAAGTGTGCTTTTCCTTTCGTCCTTGACCTATGTCAGTACCAAAAAAATGAGCCATCCATCTGCCCATGCATGTTCAGAAGCAGGAGCTGAGTCCCATGACCAACAGCAAAGTAAGCCGACTCCTCCTTGATTCTGACCAAGCCAGTAACTTGCATTTGAGTTAGGGTTGGATTAGGTGAGCAACTCAATAACTGTATAGTGAAAGGAAGACTAGGGGCTTAGGAATCAAATCCCACAGTGACCTTGGTAAGGATTTTGCTCTTTTATGGGCAGCTTAGTAGATAGGGTCAGTCTTTTAATTTACTTAACAATTTGCAGAGAGCTTTCCCTTTGTAACACTTAATCGTTTCTCCTCAACTCAATTTCTTCATCCATACAATTGGGTTAATACAACTTCTTGTACAGGGCTATCATAAGACCTAAATAAAATGTGTATATAATAAGATGCTTACTCTAGTGCCTGGCACATAAGAGCTTAATGACTGTTTCTCGTCCACCTCGCCCTTATGTGGTTCTGCTGTTAAACCTTGGTTCTCAGTGAAGTCATATTGGCTATAGTCCCCTTCTCTCCTGCCCACCCCCCAAAACAAACACAGCTAGCTGAAAACAGCCCACTGATTTTTGACAACCTTATTGGTCTTTCCAAAGGAACCTTCTCACTTTATACCTGTTGTAACAATTTATTGGACATTTAGCATGAGCCATGAATTGTGATAAGTATTTTACATGGACAATCTCATTTCATTTCCCCTACCACCTTATGAGTTCAATATTATGATGATTCCCTTTTTGCTTTAAACTAACTTGACCACCACTGTGAAGGAATTCCAAACGTATTTTTTAATATCTATCTTTTATGTTTTATTATTGCAATGGACTGAAGGTTGTGCCTATCTGAACTCCATTTATTGAAATATTAAACCTCAAAGTGATGCCATTAGGAGGTGGAAGCTTTGAGGGAAAGCTAGGTCAAGAGGGTAGAGCCCTCCTGAATGGGAATAGTGTGGTTATGAACAGAACCTGAGAGAGTTATCTTGCCCCCTTTCCACCACGTAGGATACAGTAACAAGTGGAGAGTATGTGACCCAGAAGAGGGCTCTAGCCAAATGTGACCCAGGTGAAACCCTGATTTGGGGTTTCCAGACTCCAGAACCATAAGAAATAAATTACTATTGCTTATCAACCACCCAGTTCACAGCATTTTGTTCTAGCAGCTCAAACTAAGACAAGTATCGTCATTGCAAAGCATTCATGCGGTGGCTTCCTGAGTTGTGTTTTATAAATTTTGTTCCAACAAAGCACTAAGATAGTTTCAATCCTCCAAAATGTGATTTTGCTGTTGTTGTTTGTTTTGTTTTGCCCCAGAGAAGAAGGAATTTAGATTAAGGGGTCCTCTATCTCTCTCTTAAATCACATGGGTCCTTCCTATCTCTGATTTAAGTTTAGAAACTTGTCATGAATAGACAAAACTCCTATTTATGACTCTTGAAGAACTGCAGCCAATTACTACACAGTGCCAAACTGGCAACCCCGAGAAGATGGTAATGATCACCGAACTCCTTGAGAGGAAGAGCAAGGACAGCTGAAGGAACATTCTCATGGAAAGTACACACGTTGAACAACTACAGAACGGTACAGACGCTGGTTCACATAGAATTGGAAAGTAAAAACTTTCCCTATAAATACTCCTTATTGTGAATAAACTTGAAGGTTAGGGGAGCAATGAAGCACATCTACCCGAGATAGAGAAACATTCACCAGGAAGGGTCTTAAGTTGAAAAGACATGAGATTCCCATTTCAGAACCTCAGTCAAGCGATTCCTTTAAAAAATTCCTGAAATGGAACATTATGGCATACTTTCTATATTATGCTTGGCTTCGCTTTATTTTTTTAATAAATATTTGTTCAGGCATATGCTTGGCCCTTATTTTCTTTTGATCATTTTTTGAGATTTTAGGAGATGATGTTTTCTACTTCTAGGGAAACTGAAGGAATCAAAAGGGATTTTATACATGGTCTCACCATTACATCTAAATTCCCTACCAGCAGTATCGGTACCTTAGACATGTCAGTTACTATCAATGAAAATATCCTATCTCCTCTCCAAAGCCAAATTTTCCCCTTGGACACTAGACACTTTCATTATTTGCCAACCCAACAAAATTGCTTAAGGAACTCTTTCTGTCTTTCCTAAAACATTAATCTGTTCCTCTCTTTTAGAACATTCCCATCAGCATGCAATCATATAGTAATGGTCCTAGCCAAAACAACAACAACAACAAAAAAAGCAGATCCCCTAGCTTGGCCCTCCCTTTCCCACTTGTTTCCATCCCATTTCTTTGCTTCTTTTTGCAGGAAACTCAAGAGTTGGCCTTTTTTCAGTTTTCATTTCCTTGCTAACATTCTCTCTTAAGCTACTTAAACCTGTTACAGTCACTGTTACAGTCACTTTTGTTCTTGCTCAGGTCACCCGTGATGCCCAGTTGTGAAATTTAATGAACCATTTTCAGTCTTGCTCTTACCAGATTTATTGGCAGCATTCGGCACTGTTTTTCAAGTCCCTCTACTTGATACACTTCTTTACCTTGGGTTTTAGGGTTCTGAGTCCTCCTAGTTTTCCTTCTACCTCAATGATATCTCTTTGGTGTCCCTGATGATGGTTTCTTTCTTTTTTATTGCCTTTTTAATGCCAGGGAAGCCCAGGGCTGAGAGTCCCTGTCTTCTTCTCTTAATTATCTACAGCCACACACTTGATAATCCTATCTAGCCTCACAGTTTGTAAAACCAACATACTGATGACTCCTAAATCTCCACTTATTTTAGTTCCCCCCAACACACAGTTCTCCTTACAAGCCTCACCTACACATGATTCACAACCAACTTGATCTCTACAATCAGGTGTCTAATAGTCATTTCAAATTCAGTGTGTTCAAAACCAAAAATCCCAGAATTCCTACAAACCTGCTCTCCCTATAGCCATCTCAATCAACACAAATGTCATCTTTCCAGTTGTCAAATCCAAAACTCATTTTTTCACTCATACTCTACATGCAATCTATCATGACATTCTGTTGAGTCATAATTCCAAAACAAAACTGAAATCAAATGACTTTCTACCACAACCACCATTGACCACCCATAGGCTGAGCTACATCATCTACTGCTTTGGCTATTGGCATAGAATCCTAAGTAGTCTCTTAGTTTCTGACTCTTTCAGTCTAGTGGCAACATAATTTCCCAAGAGATCCTTCTTAAAAAGTCAGCTCTTCCTCAATACCTCGCAGTGAATTCCATTCTACTCATATTAAACCCAAGTCTTTTATTCAGTGTACTATAAAGTCTTATATGGTATTCCCCTTGCCTCTCTGTTTTCTCTATGGCCTTATACTATCCCTTGCATTCTTTCCTTCAGCCACACTGACCCCTGCTCTTCCTTAATGGGCTAGCATATTCTTGTCATTGGACCTTTATACAGGCTGGATTCTCTGTCTGTGACATTCTCCCCCAGGTGTACACTTGTGGTCTCACCTCCTTCAGATCTTTGTTCAAATGATACCCCTATTTAAAATGGCAACTTTAAATGGCACACAACCCTCCCCTGCCAGCTAGCCCCTGCCATTTTGAACCTCACTATTCTGCTTTAATTTCCTTTTTCCCATAGCATCCTCTACCAGGAATATAATATATTGATTTATGTATTATGTTTATTGTGTGTCTTCCTTTGCTAGAATGTAGGTTCTGCAAGGGCAGGGACTGGTGTCTGTCTGGGTCACATCTTTTCCTAAACCCCTACAATAGTGCTTTCATGTGAAGTTACGAGTGCTGAGCTGAATTGAATGAAATGAAATGGGCTTCCAAAGAAAGAATGTGAATTGATAGCATTGTGGCTGTGTAAAATAAGAACTTAACTTAAAACAGCTTCACAGAGGATTATTTTCTAGTATCTAATTATATTATAAAGCAAGAAGGCAGGACACCTGAATATATGCCCATTCATTGGCAAAGAGATGACAGCCTAAAATGACAACCTGGAAGAAAATGGAGATATAGCTTCCCTCATTTTTTTTACTTTAAAATTCAGTCAACATATTTTCAGATGGCTCAAGAATATGTTTGGAATAGATTATACTAATGTATCCCACAAAGTCACAAAGACATTGAAGGATTAATTTAAAGATGAAAACAAAAATAATTCTGACTTTTTCTAATGTTCATTGTAGTTCAACACAAACTCTGTGACCCATAGATGTTTGCCTGTGGTTTGTGCCACTGATATCTAAGTCTCATTTCATTAAAGTAGTTTCAGAAAGAGTAGCAGTCCACAGAAAGTTTATTTTTGCCAGTCTTGGAAATCTTAAGGAAAATTGAGTAGCAAGCACAATGTTCTCAATGTGTGACCACTGTATCTATAGCATTAGCGCCACCTGGGAATGTGGTATAATTGAAAATCGTTGGGCTCCATCCCACTCCAGACTTATATAAGAAACTTTGAGGATAGTACTCAGCCATCTGTGATTCTTCAAGTCCTCCAGGTGATTCTGATGCCTACTTAGGTTTGTGAATTGTTGATGAAGCAAAATTGTTCATATGCAAGTTCATAACAACTTCTGTAACAAGGTAACACTAACACAGACTTCTTTCATTGACAAATGCAACTTATTTGCTAGGTCATCCAGCACCCAATAATGACTCAATGGACTTTTCTCTTTAACTAACCTTTGTGAAATACTCTTTCTGGGCATTCTGCCTCAGATTAATGAGAAAGTGGAAGACTTACTCCCATATTCCAGAAGACTAATTTAACAATTTCACAATGCTCTTAGATGCTTGGCTCTAGGCTCTTCCTGCGGAGATTTATGAATCCAGATTTTAACAAACCATTTCTCAACATGTCTTCAAGCTGCAATTCCATTTCAAAGTGAAGATGACCACAGTGGAATGTGTACTCAGGGAAAAACATATGCTGGGACTTGTAGGAATTTGTCAAAAATTACTTACTAATTAAAAATTTTAATCCAGAAGTAGGTCACCAAGAGCCCTTTGCTTTGATTATTCACACAAAACCTGTCAGTTTGTAAATTATTTACTTAATGGCTAAAGCATCCTCTTGTCTAAAACAGATTTTCCTTAAGGTGTAATCTCCTACGACTCTCACATTCCTCCTACTCCTTTTAAAGTAGGCAGGGATCTCATTTTACAGATGACATAGCCGAAGCACAGTGACCTAAGGCCATATTATTATGGACAAAGTCACGACCAAGTCTCAAATTCTTTAGATTTTCTTATAGATATCAATTCAATGATAAGCATGTATTAAACACCCATTCAGTGCCAACCCTTAGGGATAGGAATTTACAAATTTCTGACACTGCTCCTGCCTTTAAAGAGCTCAATGTGAGAGACACTGTTACCCTGATAAATTATGCCTGCCTTCATCTAACTTTGAACTCCAGTGATGCAATGAAAGAAACAGTAATGATTATTAATTTATTTTTTTCTTTACAAATTTTTATTGGTGCATTATAATTATACATAATGATAGGATTTGTTGTTATTCATTCATACACACACACACAATATAACACTCCCTAGCACTCCTCCTCCACCCCGTCTCTTTCTTCTACTGGTCTCCCTACCATTTTCATGAGATCCCTGCTCCCTCACAACACCTTTCTTTTCTTTTTTCCTCTTTAGCTTTCACATATGACAGAAAACATAAGACCCTTGACTTTCTGAGTTTGACTTATTTCACATAACATAATGGTCTCAAGTTCTACCCATGTTCCTGCAAATGACATAATTCCATTTTTATGGCATAAAACTTCATTGTGTACATATGCTACATTTTCTTTATCCATTCATTCGTTGATGGAGACCAAGGCTGGTTCCATAATTTGGCTATTGTGAATTGTGCTTCTAAAAACATGGATATGCATGTATCACTGTAGTATGATGATTTTAGTTCTTTAGGATAAATACCAAGGAGTGGTGTACCTGGGTCATGTGGTGGCTCTATGCCTGGTCTTTTGAGGAACCTACATAAAGAACCTACATAAAGATTGGGGTTGTTCTAATTTACAATCCCACCAACAGTGTAAAAGCATTCCTTATTCTCCACATACTCCCAAGAGTATTGATTTCTACATTGAAGAGATCTTAGAGCAGCATGAATTGCATCATTAGGCCCTCACATTGAATACCCATCATTTAATCCAGGCACCAAGATGTAGGATATCATATGCTATTAATATTTAATAACAGAACAAAATGTAGGGCTATAATGTGAAAAATGATAAATTTGTAGAAAGATGATGGGAATTAGAGTCCAATGTAAAAAAGGAATAAAAGCTAATTGTGACCAAATTACATTTTACAATTAAACAATAACATGAGGTTTAGATGGCACAAAGACTTTTTGGAGCTGGCCTGCACCCTCTCCCTTGTCCTCATCACTGAGTGTGAGATTGAGTTTGGAGGTCTACACTGTCAGAATACTAGCAGGTCTGCTTAGAAAATGTTCAGGTTAAGTGAGGTTAAGTCAGTAACTTTATGTGACTGAGAACTGGAGACCAAGTTCAGGGTTCCTCTCTAACATATACTGTCTTTCTAACCAAAGGTAAAATTTTGGTTATGGAGACAGGTAGAAGAAAACAAAACAAAAACAAAAACCTCAGACAGGATGTTTTGAGGAAGTTAAAAGTTTTCCATAAAGCAAGAAAAGTTATACAAATATGGCCATATTTATCCATTTAGTCAACACTTTAAGCACCTGTAATGTACTGTTAGTGACACTAAGTACTGGGGATATCCAAATGTATATCACAAAGTGCTGTGGTTTTGTTTCTATTATTAGAATACCTGGGGAACATCCTCAGAACAGTCGCCCCAGTGACCTGAAGTCTAGACAAAGTGACATAAGAGAGCTTTGTCAGTAAGTTGGGATTTCCTTGTTAGAAAAATTAAAAGTAAGCTTTAATAATTTAACATTTTTACAGTGTCATTTTAAGACAAGCTTGAGTCAGACTATTCGAGAGTGACAAAAGAGAAGAGAGCCTCCTCTTGCAGCGACAAAAAAAAAAAAAAAAAAAAAAAACTGAAGGGAAGAGATTAGGAAGACAAGACTTGTTATTTTTCCTGGAGCACTAAAGCTGGTTATTGAAAAACGCTGTTGAATTCCTCTGCTGAAGATCTTTTGAAAGTGATTAGCTAATTCTCTTTCTTAATGGGTTTAAAGCTATGACTAAAAGTGGGGTGCTAGGAAAGTCACTTTCTTGAAGTTCCACTTCCAGAACTCTGTGAATGGTAACTAGATGGTGATGAAGCTGTTTTCTTCTCTCTCCCTTATTTGGCAGGCATGTCTAATTCCAGATTTGGAAACTCATCGACATTGCTATGAAATGTATCATAGACCATGACTCATTATGAAAAGGACAAGTGTGTAGATTGCCTTACCAGTGAACACTCCTCTGCCAGTCCTTCCCGTTCTTCCTGGGACAAGACTTCGCTTCTTTCTCTCTGATTCATATCCTGAGGAAATCAACATGACACAAAATGGCTGTTTTCAATAAAAACCCTCTCCAGCCCACACTTTGAGAACATAAGCTTTTTAAAATCCAGATGACTTGTTATCTTCTCTTTCCTTCCAAAAAATCTGGTGCCATGAGGGATAGGTAAAACAGTCCGAATGCCATTCATGCAGTGAGCGTTCTACATTAAATTTCTTTAGCCAACAGATCTACAAAAAGCATCTGCTGTGGTAGCAGTTTTAAAGGTGGGAATTAGCAGAAGAAAGAACAAAAAGTTACTTGAGCCCATGGGCATTAGACATGCTAGATTCCCTTCTATAGTAATAGTTAATATTGAGTGCTTGCCAGGTGTCTAAGTTTTCCTGGCATCATTTCATTTAATCCAAGCTACCACATGAGATAAATTCTACTGTGGACCCCAACTCACACACCAGGAAAATGTGTGAGCTCAGACAGGTTAACCCATTTGCTCAAGATGATGTCACAAGTAAGAAGCAGAGATGACCCAGATATCCCACTCCTTTGTCTATACCCAAAGGACTTAAAAACAGCATACTACAGTGACACAGCCACTTCAATGTTTATAGCAGCACACAATGCAATCAACCTAAATGCCCTTCAATAGATGAATGGATAAAGAAACTGTGATACATATACACAATGGGATATTATTCAGCATTAAAAGAAAATGAAATTCGGGCCTTTACAGGTAAATGGGTGGCATTAGAGAATATCACGCTAAGTGAAAGAAGCTAATCCCCCCCAAATCAGGGGCTGAATGTTATCTCTGATAAATGGATGCTAATCCATAATGGGTAGGGGGAGGCATGGGATGAGTGGAGGAAATTTGGATGGGGCAAAGGGGAGGTGCTAAGGAGGCAGGGGGTAAGAAACATGATGAAATGAGATGGACATCATTATTCTAAGTACATGTATAATTGCATGAATGATGTGACACGACTTCTTGCACAACCAGAGAAGTGAAAAATTCTGCTCCATTTGTATACAATGAATCGAAGAGCTTTCTACTGTCATGTATAACTGATTAGAACTAATAAAAAAAAGCAGAGATGAGATTCAAACACATAACTATTTGAAAACAGAACCTAAGTATCTATTGCTCATCTAGAACTTAAGAAAAGGTAGATACATATTCCTCAAAAGACTAGGAATGGACTCAGCTACCCCATTCCTTGGTGTTTACCCAAAAGAAATAAAATCAGCACACTCTAATGATGCAGGCACATCAATATTTATAGCAGGGCAATTAGCAGTAATGAGGCTATGGAACCAGCCTAGATGCCCCTCAACACACAAATGAAGAAAGAAAATGTAGCATATATACACAATGAAGTCCTACTTAGCCATAAAGAGGAGCAAAATTATGTCATTTGCTGGTAAATGAATGGAATTGGAGAATTCATGCTAAATAAAATAAGACAGACTCAGAAAGTCAAGGGTCTAGTGTTTTTTCTCATATGTGGAAGCTAGAGAGAAATAAGGAATTTAACAAAGTGGGGGTCCATGAAAGTAGAAAGAACAGTGGAAGAGTGAAAGAAACTTGAGTGGATAGAGAAGGGGAGGAACTGTGGAAAGAAATTGACCAACTTATGTTATCACAGTGAACTCCACTTTTGTGTATATCTATAAAGCACCAATTTAAAAATTAAAAATGGAATATCAGTAGAGTAGTGAAAGGGGAACATGAGGGGAGAGAAAGGGGAAGTGCTAGGGATTAAAATGGAGCAAATTGTATCACATGCATGTATGATATGTCAAAGAGTTCCACTATTATGTATAGCTATAAAGTTCAAATAAAAACATTTAAAAAACAAGGAAACATTGAGAAAACATCACCATTATGTACATGAGAAAACGAAAGAGAAGATAAGTAACCTGATCAAGAGCATGAAGATTACTGGTATTTTTGGTCTGGGATCTGAACTCAGGTCAGCAGGCTCCAATATTCATGTTCTGATCAGATAGATAAAAAACCCAGGAAATTCACATTCACTCCATGTAAATTATTCTTAAACCAATTCAAATAAACCCATGCCTACTCTACACAGCACTGCATATGAGACTCCAAAGACAGTATGAGAGAATTGAATACACTGTACTTGCCTCCAATGAACTTAATTTCCAGTTGGCAGAGAAAACACACAGATGAATGAACTGAGATTGGTGGTGCTGAATTGTGTCGCTCTGTTTTAAATAACACCCTATGAGCTGAATGAATGCTGAAGAGATGCTGGGAGAAGCAGTGATTAAGGAAGAAGAAAGCTGATCTAGAAAGTCTTCTTAGAGGAAATATAAAATGTTATGTGTGATGAGTGGAGTGGATCCCATTGTTTGATGTCTTCCTGACTATTTTGTAGGCAGGGAGAAAAATACTTTGGAGAGCCCATGGAAAGAAAATACAATCTTGGCACTTATTGGGGAGGTTCTATTTAAGATATGGCTCACGATTACAGAGCAATGAAAGGTCGAAAGAAAGGAAAGAATTTTTCTGTGATTACAGTTAAAACTACTAGTAATCACTTTTTCCCTTGGCTGGTAGGTTTCCAGAGGGTCCCATAAAATACAAACTATGAAAGTTGTAAATTAAATTCATACTCATTCTTTATAAGAAAAGGCAAAAGGGCAAAGGGAAGGGAGGGGAAGACTCAGTTTCAACATTTTCAAGGGATTTTCCATGAGATCTATTAAATCTAATGGAGAAGAAGAATTAAAAAAAATAATAATTTTTTAAAAATTTAATTTTGGAACTTTTTTGGGTGAATGGACTCAAGTGTTGACTGCCTATTTCAGCACTCCTCCCCCCAGACCTCCAAGTTAATAAAGAAGGGGCTTGGGATAGTAAGCATGTATTCCCTATTTACAAAGTTTATCTAAGCCATCTCCTACTTTTCTTTCACCTCAGGCATGGACTTCAACCTTCTTTTTATTTACTGAGACTTTTCTAAGAATAGCATTTTCCTACTATCTGCAAACAAGAGGTGTTCAAGACACTAATGAGTATTACTAACTAAAACAGTTGTAAAGTCAACTCGGGAAAGCCAAATTCAAATGCACCTCAGATCTGCTCAAGTGCATTTTGTTTCTGTAACTGAGACACACTCAGAATTTCTTAAACTTGTCTGAATGCCTCCTTATTTTATGAAACTTGTATTCCTATCTCATGGACCTGCTGTTCCATGAAAGGAGCCAGGTTCTCCTTCCTTACACATGTTTGGCAGAGGTAGATCCAGGTGGATGGAATAATGGTTGCAGACAGAGGAGTACCAACTGGCCATGACGATGACTGATACCTAGGAGTTCTGGGTCTCCATGTCTAGGTTCTCTGCATTGATTCATCAGTGAGTGAGAGTGAGTGACAAAGCTCTAATGTCTCATCGTACACTCTTCACTGCCAGCCTCATGGAAGGGCGCTGCTGCCATTCACCCCTATAATGTTCAGCTCAGGGCGGGCATCAGTGGGGAATGAAGGAGACAAGCAGGAAGTTCTGTTCACAAGAGAACTGAAGGAACACGTGGAGCAAAAGCTTATCTGCACCATGAACCTGAAAACATCACATCAATTGCATTTAATGCTTCATACACTACCTTTGATATGCACTTTGGCAGATCATTCTTTTGGATGTACTTCCCTGTCCTCTCCCACACCTGACCAGAGTATAAGACCAACTCACACAGAATATAAAGGAACCACTCTTCTCTACAACCACTTATCTGAGTGTGAATTTAAAATGCCACCGTTGTTTATCACCATGTACAGAGGAGGAAACACAGACACTGCAGGGCATATTGTACCTGTTTAGAATTTTATCACAAGAGGAAATCCACAGGTAAAATCTCTGTCTATAAGAACACATTCTGCTTAGTGGGGGGAACATTTTATACTCTGAACACCCAAGCTGCTTAATTCCTAGCATGTCACATGTTCAGCTGAGTCCCAATGCCTACCCTAAAGTGGGATTTTTCTACCATCCTCAGAGTCAGATATATATAAAACCTGTAGTCATCTTTTTAGCATGTTACACATTTTGCAATAGCATTAACCAAGTTTTTAGCCAGTATGTAAAATTAACATTTTTAATATAAATATTGCACCTTTTCCATGTATCTATTTGTACATCTTTTCCTATTTTCCTGTGAAGAATTATCTACTTTACAGATAAGCAACTATAAAGAATAACTTACTTGTACAGTGCTTTAGAGTTTCCTTAGTCCTTTCATTTACATGCCTTATTTTATCTTCTGTATAACTCTGAGAGATGGATGTTGATATCTTATTTTTATAATGTAGAAATTAGACATTGAGAAACTATCACCAAGCTCATACCTGACAGAATGAGACTGAAACCCAGACTGTCTGATTTCAGACTTAGCACTGTCAACTCATGAAGTGAATCAAAACCTAGATTTTCTGAGAGATTTCCAGAATAAGCTCATGGTGATCCTAATCTTTTTCAGTATACCAAGTACATCATGCTATCAGATTAGTACTTTATTGGAAACTCTCTTGTCCCCCCCATCATTTCATGTGCCTCTTTCCTATCCCACTCAAGCACAAGCCTTCGATTATGTTGCTATTTCAAGCATTCCCTGTCCTCCCTATATGCTGTTCTCACCTAAAGAATGCCCATCTTTCCAGTTCCCATGCAACCAGGCTCAATCACATTCAGCAGAACTCAGCACAGGCCAGGGGCAGCCCCTTTCCTCCTTTGGAATCCCCCAGCTTCAGCATCCTTACTTCAGGGAGGAGCTCTTCTGGGTCTTCCCATAGCACCCAGCACTCATCATACTATTGCACTGCAAATATCTGCTTATCATGTTTCCCATTAGCCCTTGATCACCTTGAGAACAGGAATCTTCTCTTCTCTTGCAATCCCCAACATCCAGCTCACTGTAGACGGTCAGCAATTAATAAATACATAATTATATAAATAAAATAACACCAAATCAACTAAGGTAGTTAGCACCCTTGAAGAAATCCCA